AAGTTCCCAGGAATCCTGACGTCACAAAAAGAAATCCAACAATTTCTCGGGCTAGTTAATTATATGGCAGATTTTTTGCCTAAATTATCAAGCCATACTGTGCATTTATTCCYTATGCTAAAGAAARATCCACCCTCGTGGGGTAAAGAWCAGACTTTAGCTATAGAAAKAATAAWGCAACTGGCTGATGTGATGCCTCCTTTAAAGATTCCTACTGTTTCTGACAAAAGGGTCCTCCAGACTGACGCAAGTGATGAGTACTGGGGGGCAGTCCTAATAGTTCAAGACAAAGCTGGTGTCAGAACAATTTGTGGATACAAAAGTGGAACGTTCAAAGATTCGGAGCAGCACTACCACTCTACCTTTAAAGAAATCCTAGCGGTCAAAAGGGAAATAGAAAGATTCCAATTCCATCTAATCGGGCATGATTTCCTGATTGAAATGGATATGTCTTCTTTCCCACATATGCTCCAGTTCAAAAGAAAGATTCTCCCAGAGGCTCAACTTTTGAGATGGGCAAACTGGTTCTCTCAATGGAAATTCACTGTGAAACATATCAAGGGGTCAGAAAATATCCTAGCAGATTTTCTATCAAGACCAAAAGGCTATAAATATGATGTTCCAAAAGACATCCAGATCATCCACAAAGCCAAGGTCCTTCCAATGGTATTTCCTGTCGAGAATGCAAGTTCTTCCAGCTCTCCTGTTCCACACACTTCTCAAACCCCACATCAGGTTGTTCCAGCTGAAGAGATCACAGTTGTACCACAAGTCCTGCCAGATGAAGTAACARAAACCATTGCTGATCTCACTTTAAGAGAGAGGTCCAGTTGAATTACAAAACGTTTTTCACCATCATACTAAAGAAGCATGGTCTGTTCATGAGAAACCTTCAGTTCCATCCGGATTACCCATACCTAAATGTCTTCCATATCCTTGACTTACATAGGTTACCAAAAGAAGCCCTTTGTTTCTTCTGGTATCTTTTCGAGTCTCATACCATAGCAATATCGTTCAACTCAGCCAAACTACTCAGCTACATTTTTCAATGTCAGTTTGATAGTCCGCCCCCAGGGGCAAAGAACATGTTCACCCTTCTCCAGTGGTTCCTCCCGGCTCATCAATGGATTCAATGATTAGCTGTCTGTTTCAAGATCTATGTTGTAATCATGTTTAGAAGACCCTGCTCCTTCTTACCACATACTGCTCTTCGACAACAACAATCGTTGGTCTACCACTCTCCATTGTCATTCATTCATGAATGGAATGACCGCAACCCAGGCAGCTCGCACTACGAATGGTCCCAACCAAAAAAAAATATATAGAAACAAGGCGGATCCTAGCCAGTGCTAACCTAGTTGATCCAGATTCAATCCCAGAACAAGTCCTAAATAATGAAAGTCTTTGGCCCTTCGATCACCCAGTTTCTGCATCATGGGATGAAGCACTTAAAGACTGGTACAAGAATCATCTCACAAAGAAATTGGACACTTCCGATGATGAAGACGATAATGAAGATGATGAACGTTATGATCCCGGAGAAAATATGTATGATCCTTATGAAGACGATCCATCTCATCCTGACTCTCGCTGGAAATAATTATCGTAGTTAATAAGTGTCTTGACTTAAAGACAAAATTGTGATGTAATAATGATGTAAGCTTGTAGTCACCTAGTTGTGATGTAAGCGCTTACCTCATTTAGTTTGTTTTCTAATTTGAATTATTATTAGCTTTTGTCATGCTTATGGCATGCTTGCATAAGGGTGCCTTTTCCTTCACTATAAAAGGAAGGCTTCCCCTCATTTGTAGAAAATCCTTGAAAAAGAAATAGAAGTGTCTTTCTTATATCCTCTCTTGTTCTTAAGTTTAAGTTGATGTTCTTCATGCTTTCTCTTATACAAGCTTCTTAGTTTTCCAATTACAGACCAGTCTCCCTTAGTCTCTCAGTCTCCCTATCTCCCAGTCTTGGGAATCACCCATTGGAGGCAAGATGATTCCTCCAAACATGTTTGATAATCAAGAAGCAATCGAGGATGTTACCAGTGAAGCGTCAAAAGACGACAACAGTGGAGAAGATAACTCAAGTGCATCGAATGAATTCAATGATTATGTTATCATTGATTGAAGAATGGTGATTAAAAAATTTACATGTTTTGTCATTAAGGGGGAATGTTATAAATTAATGGCAAATCAGATAAATTAATATATATTTATCTGTGCATTTTAAGGTTTTTAGTTAGGTCAGTAACTTGGGCCGCAGGCCATCAAGTTGTGTCAAATAGAAGTCCATTAAATAGCAGTTATGAGTCAGTTATTATGCATCGGTTACAAGAGTCATGTCTGTTTGCTTGGCACAGATTCTGCTTGTATATATGTATATCGTGTATACTCTGGTTTTAGACACAATCAATAGAATTTTTCAGTTTACATAAAGTGTTGTTTGCTGTGATTGTGTTCCAATGGAGATGAAGAATGATTCATCTCCAACATCTTTGTTGGAAGAAAACTAAAGAACATCAAAGATCTGTAGGAAGTTTCAAATGATCAAAAAAAGTAAATTGCAGAAAAGTTTCTACACATACATATATATAGAGGAGTTTGTTGTGATAGAGATAATATAAACAATTCATTGTCACAACAACTGCTTTATACAGTGGGTATTGACCTATATATATATATATACATATATATATATATACATATATATATATATACATATATATATATATATACATGAACCAACACCATACTAAGAGACACAACCTTTCCAAAACACCCGTTCAAACATAAGTGCAACCTATAACTTCCATAACTGACATCGAATATTAAAATGCTAATTAACTTAATAAATACTAATAATGTTGTCTAGCTTACTTTTAACAGGAATTAGGCACCCTCAAATATTTTCTTGGTGTTGAAGTGGCTCTTGCATATCTTGTGTTTTAGAAGACCAGATCTGGTCTATAGTATGCATATCTTGTCAAAATTTATGCAAAATCCTTGAATCGAGCATTGGGAGGCTGCATTGGGAGGGGGGTCGTTAATTTTTTAAAAGGGAGTCTAGGTCAAGGAATTCTTTTAAGTAGCAAATGTGATTTACAGTTGCGTGGTTGGTGTGATGCTGATTGGGCTGGTTGCCCTTTGACGAGACGATCATTGACCGGCTGGTTGGTATATCTACGGGGTTCTATCGTGTCTTGGAAAACAAAGAAACAACACACGGTGTCTCACTCTTCAGCTAAGGCAGAATACTGATCGATGGATCTCACAACATGTGAATTAAAATGGTTAAAAGGTGTTTGGCGAGTCTCAGCGTTCATCATACACAACCGATGACGCTTCATTGTGATAGTCAAGTGACGTTACATATCTTCCAAAATCCGGTGTTTCACGAACCAACAGAGCATATCAAGGTGGATTGCCACCTCATTTGTGATGAGATTGTTGGTGGGAGCATTAATACCAGACAAGTGGGAACCAAAGAACAAATTGCAGATTTCTTCACCGAAGTTCTCGGTAAAGCACAGTTTGATTACTCACTTTGCAAATTGGGCGTTCAAGATTTTTACATACTAATTTGAGGGTATCCTAAAATCAAGGTACGTTATCCTATAATAAGGATAAACCTTGGAGATAATTATGCGGTCTGATTTTTAGAGATAATTGTTCAATTTTTCTTTTTGAAGTTTCCAATTTCCTTAGGATAACGATGTTTGTTTGTGTTTAAATACCCTCCCTACGGGGGCAGAGGAGAAGGTCAAGAAATCAATAATACAGTTTCATATTTTATCATCGATGAAAACAAAGTCGGTTCAAAGTCACATTCTTTCTCCACCTTGTACATGCTAAAATATGTTTTTGAGCTCTGGCAAGATCAACACAATCCATGAGTGCTTGAAGAAGAAAAAGAAATGGTTGAAAAAGAAAACCAAACCATGGATTATTATTTACTACAATTATATAGTATGAATGAAGAGATTAATTTTAGGCATTCAAAAATCATGTAATATAATTGAACATAGAAAACCATAATGGTCCTTTGTAAATTAATCAAAGATGGAAGTTCCATTAAAATCAATGAATCAAGATGATTGGATAAATGAGATTGATCTTCACTAATTAAATTATGCGACTCCGTCCGCCTCTCTCTCTATATATAATCTGTAACGTCTCTAACATGGTGTTATACACACACACACACACATATATATATATGCATATAATCTGTAACGTCTCTAACATGGTGTTATATATATATATATATATATATATATATATATCTTCAAATATGTATTTTCACACTTTTTTGGGTGATTCATATAATTAATTTCTTGTTCGCGCATCTAGACTTCTCATTTTAACAAATGAGAACCTAAAAAGATAAACAAGTTGAGAATCAATTATTTATTGAACAGTCAACTCTATTTACTACTATTTTCTTTTCTTTCTAATGCGAATATAAATAAAATTTAACTACTATAAGAGTGGTGTCTGATTAGTTTGAAGTTGACTTTAAAAATCAAAATTATCAGAAAGTCTCAGTATTAAATCTAAGAAGGAATAAAAATCTCTTTGTGGCCATAGAGGTTTAAATGCGGTGCCTCCAAACTATCTGCAAAACAGCTGGTAGTCGCCTGAGATTAATCGACTCGCAGGTTCATAAAAAAAAGATTTAACGGACATAAAACAAAACTTTTCAATATTAAAACGACCATAAATCCCGAAAGAAAAAGGGATACAGAATTGGAATTTCATGCTATGAAATTCTCAAAACCAAACCAAAATAAACCTTTTCTACAAAGAACACATCTAACTTCACTCACTGGGACGGTAATTCTCGTCGCGCCGGTGACGTCCAACTGGACTTCGTCGGAGAAGTACAGGCGTATCCCGGAAACGGACTTGCACGCGGGGATCGCATCGGCAACTCACTCAGGACGTTCCCGTCTTTATCATAATAAATAACGCCAGAAAAATCCAGCGGTTGACATTTATCCCCCATCAGAATCTCCCTCCGCCACACTCCGTCGTCACCGTACTCTGCACCTTTTTCTCCGGCCTTCTTCTTGCGGTGGCGCAACTTGATCGCTTTGTTGCTTATGGAGGAGATGATTTTCTTCGGTGCCCCCTGAGAAATCCTTGAATTGCTTTTCAACTTTTTCGAAACCAGAATTGCTTGTTTGGCGCATAGAAGCAACAGAGTGGTTACTGCTTGCAAGGCGCCGGCGGGAAAACGTTTCACTTTGACGCCGGTGGAGTTTCCGTCATCGTTCTCGATTATTCTCGCCATGTCGGATGGAGGATTGATTCCCAACGTGAAGAGGACATGGGTATATATATAGGTAAGAGACTGAGGAGGTGACCGGCAATAGCCGGTAACTCTTGAGGTTTTCACTGGCTCGTGTTACGGACCAGATAACCTTTATTTATTTATTTATTTTTGTAATAAGTGCTGTCCAAAATTGCACCAATATGTTAAAAACTTTGACTTTGTCTCTTTGGTGTAACAATAAATAAATATTAATATTTAATTGTAAACTTTTTAAAATATTAATTATTATAATGATTTTTTATATTTTTATTTTGGGAAATAAAATAATTGCTAGTAAAATTAATTGCTGAACTTAAAAATCATGAATTGAAACCATCTGGATGCTATCTGATTGGTTTGAGTTTGACATCAAAGTACCAAAAAGTCTCAGGTTCAAATCTAAGGAGGAATAAAAATCCTCTTGTGGCCATATAGGTTTAAATGCGGTGACTCCGGGCTATCTGCAAAGTAGGTGGTCGTCTTGAGATTAGCCGGCTCGCATAGCGGGTTGGATATCCAGGTTAATAAAAAAAAATCATGAATTGATGTAACAAGTTTAAACATATATATATATATATATATATATATATATATATAGAGAGAGAGAGAGAGAGAGAGAGAGAGATGAGCGATCAAATGAAAACCACCCTCATTTGTAAAAACCGTACAAACCACTCTCATACGTCGATTTCATTATTTAATCTTATGAAAAAATTTCATGAAATTTTTTCATTATAATACTTTTTTTGATGAATTTGTTTCATATATGGTTATGAAATTGTTTCATATAATATTTAATGAAACTGTTTCATGTATTTCTCTAAAATTAAAATAATAAAGATGATAATATCCATGATTAACACCCTCCACAATAAAAAATGGTTACTCAACCTCTCATAATTACAAAACAATGAACAAAATGAAAAATTATGATTGGTTGAATGAGGTTTTCACGATTTTTACAAATTAAATGGTTTTTATTTGAACGCCCCTCTCTCTCTCTATATACGGGAAGCAACACAAAATTATTAGAAGGGTAATTAAGTATTTGGAGAAGTTTAATACAAGCAAAGATGGTTACAAACAAAAGTATAATTGGTACATAATTTATTACCTGCTTTTTTTAAATAGGAAATTTATTAAATTTGCAATTATGCATAGAAATGGTGTTATTAGTTAAGGGATATTGTAAATTAAAGATTAATAGATATATTGTAAAAGAAAATGTATAATAATCTCTTTAAATCGACTTCCGATCAATTTCTCAAGAAATTACGAGCGAATAGACTGACAATTATGATGGGTACTTGAGCAAATATGGTCGTCGTCGAGCGCATCATGCAACCCGATCGATGCATGGCTGATTAAAGCCTATGTTAGCAGAAAATGGAGATTTTTGAGATATTTTGGTGTGAGAGATCACATAAATTGGAGAAAAATCAGAAAATATAGAATTTTTTTTGGAGGTCTTTTTACTCGAACAAATTCTCCAAAATAAAGAAAGTAAGAAAAAGAAAATGGATTATTCAAATCCAAAGAATTCCCAAGAAATATTGCTTATGAGAGAGAAATGATTTTTTATTATACTCACTGGTACGAATCTTTGAAATTAAATATTTAAGAGAAATAAATAATATTTTATCTGATGTAGTATAATTTAATAATATAATTGATACTGTAATATACAAAATAAAAATAAAAAAACTATTAGAATTAAATACAGATGTTTAGTGACTTAGATTTTTAGTTCTCGATTTTAGAAGAAAATTAGAGAATTAATTTGTTGGACTCTAAAAACTTATGTTAACTTGAAATGAGAGTTGCCTGTTAAAAACATATGGGCATGATCAAAGAAGAAACACGAAACGGTTGAGAATAGTGCAAATTACTGATATTATGTAATTTGAATTTGAAGAAATAACACATGTGAAACCACAGTGTCACCTCACAATGGTAAACAAAAGATATACGTTACAAATAATCACAGTGAAACAACACTGTATTTTCAAATGCGTTGTTTGACAATGTGAAACAACACATGAATCTCACAACTTTCAGTTTTTGTTGGTTTCATTGATTATTTCCTCTCTCTCTCTCTCTCTCTAATATATATATATATATATATAGAGAGAGAGAGAGAGAGGAGTGATCATATGAAAACCACCCTCATTTGTGTAAACCGTGCAAACCACCTTCATCTGTAGATTTCATTGTTTAATCTTATGAAAATTTTTCATAAAATTGTTTAATCTTGTGAAATTGTTTCATATAATACTTTTTTTGATGAAGTTGTTTCATATATGGTTGTGAAATTGTTTCATATAATACTTAATGAAACTGTTTCATGTATTTCTCTAACATTAGTGAAACTGTTTCATATATTTCTTTAAAATTAAAATAATGAAGATGATAATATCTATGATTAACACCCTCCACAATAAAAATGATTAATCAACCTCTTATAATTTCAAAAAAATGAACAAAATGAAAAATTATGATTGGTTGAATGCGGTTTGCACGGTTTGTACAAATTAAGTGGTTTGCATTGATCGCTCCCCTATATATATATATATATATATATATATATATATATATATATTATCAAATACAAACCCATTTTTTCTTAGAAACCGTGCAAACCAATTTCATACCTACATATTTTCTTATCTTAGAATGTTGTAACGTGTTTAACAATGAAAAAGGAAAGGCATCACTGTCATTTTCACGAACTGATATCTTTGGGATGATTATTTTCCTTAACTATCGCATGTAATTCTTTTTTTTTCTTTTTTTTTTGTAAGGGTGTCCGAGCCAAAGCCCGACTAATCCCCGGAAAATTTGGAGGCTAAACATGACCTCACTTAAATGTCGCCAACACTCCCCTCCCAGGGCTTGAACTCGGGTTCATGACTATGTCATGCCCAAGCCTTTACCACTAGGCTGGAAGGTCTTTGACTTATCGCATGTAATTCTTGACTGAGAATATTATCTATCATTGCAACCGTTTTTAATTTGAAGACTACTGTTTTTCTGTGTACAAGAATATTGTACCATCAGCCTCTTTTGATTGAGACATCAGTAGTCAATATAACGGATCACGACATTAATTACACATGACATTTCGTTGCAGACCGAAGGATTTAGTTTTAACGAAGGTGTAATAAACCATTTCCCATCAAAGATACATTAGTTTACTAATTACGATCCTCATTAATACGAAGAACATCCAGATGTTGATGGCTATATGAGTGGTGTAAAAATTCCGACGTTTCACCAAAAGACAAGGGCAGGGATGTTCGTGCAATACCCTAGATGCCTAAACATAGTTTCTTATTGTACTGTATCCAAAATCCTTGTATACAAAATTAATCGTTGATTCCCAATCATGGGCCCACAATTGAAATTCTTTGAGAGTTGTATATTTGAGTCATTTTTTATTGATTATTTTATCACATCGGGAGATTTTACATCATTGAACGAGTCTTGTAACAAATAGTTGTGTTTCATGGGTGAAATAACAACAAGAAGCAATAGAATGTAGCAGTGAAGAAACAGAGAAAAGACAAGGACGAAGAGGCTTGCAAATTCTAGTGTTAAAACAAGCAATATGCTCAACATACTCATATACGTTCAACTTTAATTATTCCCGAGCATTTCATATTCATGCATGAAAAAACATGTGTAAACATCATTAATACAGTCGTTATTTTATTCACGGTTAACAGGTTCATAACTACATGTGTGTTCATATAGTTGTTTCATATAGGAATGAACATGTAAGGTAGCATAATGACTGCCATTTTTATATTTTGTACGTTGAAGATTGGTAGAATCGTCAACTATTATATAGTACTGTCATGATTTTTGATATATTTCCGTCTATGAAAACTTGTTGCCAATTTTAATCATGTTCGTAATGAAGTCTATCAATTTCAAGCATAAATACGAGTGAATCTTATGAAGGAAAGTTGTATATGCCAAGCGTCATCTAGCAGTGAAGGAATGTAGACGTGTTTTAATGTGTGTTGTGGTTAATTTTCGAGTTTTCTTTGGAATTGGGTGTTTTTGGTTGTTCTTCTAGGTTCGTCTAAATCATGCATCTTTTCCATATGCAATTCGTTGATGCAACCGTATGTATAACACATGATAACCAAAAACTATGTCCCTGTGAGGATAGTCCATAACATTTTATCATATTACTGTTGATGTTTGTGCATTAGTTCAGTAAACTGGACATACTTCCCATTGATCATGAGATCACTATTGTAGTTCTCGGTCTCTTACGCAAACTTTTTTTCCCAGATCCATCACTTGTAATATGTATGAATAAAAAGTTTTCGTTATTTTTCCATATCTGAGTTACCAAATAGGATAATTGTTCCACATATGAAATTAGACAATATATGACGTATACCTTTGTATACAAATAGTGAACAAGTAGATGTAACATTTACTTGTTCTCATGAAATATGTTTTTTAATTATAGGCGTTATTATAAATACCAAGTAGAACCAACCATGTACAACGTTTCACGCATGCAAAATTGTAATAGCGGTGAAACTGTGTGAATTCATATGTGAAACAATATACAACTTTTATCATAATCACCAATAACTATGTTGAAATAATTTATAAATGGAAATTAGTTAGTTTTAATACAGTTATATATATATATATATATATATAATTGTACATCTAGAAGTACTGTTACATATAGAGCTATCTTACTCTTTCGGGAAGAAGTCGTGTCTACATTCATTCTATCCCAACCTCCTAATGAGATATACTACGCTCGATGGTTAATTTATCTACAAGTACATGTTTGACATTCAACATCAGAAGATGACAAATCTTGATACTGGACTCGATTGTACAAACCCACATGTATAACACAGAATATATGAAGCACAATTTCACCTATGAAAAACAATTTCACATATGAAACACAATTTCACCTATAGAACACAACTTTGCCTATA